TGACCATAGCGGGTCTTTGACCATAGGGGCTTTGACCATAGGGTCTTTGACCATAGGGGCTTTGACCGTAGCGGGTGTTTGACCATAGGGGCTTTGACCATAGGGGCTATGACCATAGGGTCTTTGACCATAGGGGCTTTGACCATAGCGGATCTTTGACCATAGGGGCTTTGACCATAGGGGTTTTGACCACAGAGGGGCTTTGACCATAGCGGTTTTGACCACAGCGGGGCTTTGACCATAGCGGTTTTGACCACAGCGGGGCTTTGACCATAACGGGGTTTAATATCATTACGAGTAGCACCAGTAATAGCTCTTTGGAACTTTTGAGTGCGACGTGACCTCCTCTTCAACTTGACCCTTCTTGTGTTTCCTACGGTACAGCACAGTCCAGTTGATACAGGGTTACGTTTCATTGCATGTGAGCGCTCACATTTGTGGCTCAAAAAGTGAAAAGTCATGCCATCTGCCATGGCCTGGGTAGATTTTGAGGCCACTGTATGAAAAGTTCGATCTTCATTGTAGACGACAGGAAACCAGATTTTTTTTTAATATGTCATGTGTGCAAGTGCCTTAGTGTGCTTTGTAAAAATCAGTTTTATTGTATCTCTGCTATAATAAAGGAAACCAGAAAACTTGAAAAATATTTTCACCAATGCCTCGAGAGTCAGAACATTTAATAAAAGCAGTTAATTACTTGTCTTAGAAAAATGTATACAATTAAGTCACTGTTTTCAATTTTTTTTAAAATTTAGATGACTTTTAATGTAGAGTAACTTTTTAAATTATTTTTTTAAAACGTTCTCCAAACATAAATGTTGATTTTGTTTTTATTACTAATATGCATATTCTTTTGAACTGTAATTTTAAATTAAGTAAACTCTTAAAGTTGTAAGTTTTTTCTATGCTTTGTCTCCCTTTCATTTATTTATTTATTTTAAAATAATAAAGTGCAATAGTTTTTAAAAAATATTTATTTTAATTCAAACAAAAAAAAAAAATTCTAATTTTCTGGGGAGAAAATAAAAAAAAAAATAAAAAAATAAATGGGTTATGTTGATGGGTATGGCTTTTTAACTAGAGCGACTATTAACAAAGGTAGAAGGATTGTTTTAAAGATTTACTGATATTGATATTTACTGATGTTGGATCACACGAAAAGAATATTAAATAACTGTTTAACTGGAGCGTTAAATAGGTTTTAAACAATCAAACAAACCAAACAATCAAACAAACCAAACAATGAAAGAAACCAAACAATAAAATAAACCAAACAACCAAACAAACCAAACAATCAAACAAAACAAGCAAACAAACAAACCAAACAACCAAACAATCAAACAATCAAACAAACCAAGTAATCAAACAAACCAAACAACCAAACAAACCAAACAACATAACAAACCAAACAATTAAACAAACCAAACAATCAAACAAACCAAGCAATCAAACAAACCAAACAAACCTTACAAACCAAACAAACCAAACCAAACAATCAAACAAACCAAACAATCAAACAAACCAAACAATCAAACAAACCAAGCAATCAAACAAACCAAACAATCAAACAAACCAAACAATGAAAAAACCAAACAATCAAACAAACCAAACAATCAAACAAACCAAACAATCAAACAAACCAAACAATCAAACAAACCAAACAATCAAACAAACCAAACAATCAAACAAACCAAACAATCAAACAAACTAAACAATCAAACGTTCAATGTGTGAAGTTGATATCATTTAAGTCTCACCTTCTGAGTACACGTTCAATGTGTGAAGTTGATATCATTTAAGTCTCACCTTCTAAGTACACATTTCAATGTGCGAAGTTGATATCATTTAAGTCTCACCTTCTGAGTACACATTTCAATGTGTGAAGTTGATATCATTTAAGTCTCACCTTCTGAGTACACGTTCAATGTGTGAAGTTGATATCATTTAAGTCTCACCTTCTGAGTACACGTTCAATGTGTGAAGTTGATATCATTTAAGTCTCACCTTCTGAGTACACATTTCAATGTGTGAAGTTGATATCATTTAAGCCTCACCTCCTGAGTACACATTTCAATGTGTGAAGTTGATATCATTTAAGTCTCACCTTCTGAGTACACGTTCAATGTGTGAAGTTGATATCATTTAAGTCTCACCTTCTGAGTACACGTTCAATGTGTGAAGTTGATATCATTTAAGTCTCACCTTCTGAGTACACATTTCAATGTGTGAAGTTGATATCATTTAAGTCTCACCTCCTGAGTACACATTTCAATGTGTGAAGTTGATATCATTTAAGTCTCACCTTCTGAGTACACATTTCAATGTGTGAAGTTGATATCATTTACGTCTCACCTTCTGAGTACACGTTCAATGTGTGAAGTTGATATCATTTAAGTCTCACCTTCTGAGTACACATTTCAATGTGTGAAGTTGATATCATTTAAGTCTCACCATCTGAGTACACGTTCAATGTGTGAAGTTGATATCATTTAAGTCTCAACTTCTGAGTACACATTTCAATGTATGAAGTTGATATCATTTAAGTCTCACCTCCCCCAGCAAACATACCGACATGTAAAATATGTAACAATGACTTTAAATGTAGGTGTCAATGTGAATTGTTTGTGTTCTTAAAATGACAGAATTTACTGTAGGTTTGAGCATAGATAGATGCGCTAGTGACGTGACTACATGGTTTTACAATGTCGCTAATCTCTAAAACAAGAATGTTTGTACTGTGAGCTCAAACACATTGACAAGAAAACGATCAATAAAAAGTGTATTAATTCATACACGCCAAATACTTGATGCCATAATGAATTAGTTTGTTATTTACAGAACTAGCTTTTTAGCGCGATTTCCATACGGGCAATTGCGATTATTAACTCGTCATTTCTGGATGGATGAATGGATGTATGAATGAATGGATGGATGTGTGCCCGCAGCTTTAAGTGGTATCTCCTCCTCAACGAAGCAATATCGAGGACTAGTTCCAAAAGCAAATATGTTAAGCAAGTTCCAAGGATAATTGTGGGCCAAACAATGTCCCGGTATTCCTTCCTGGATTTCCCGGAAAAGCCAAAAAACCTAAAAAAAATGCAGTTTTTGCTCCATATTTCGGCAACAAGACCACGTAGCGACTTGAAACATGTATCAATCGATTCCTGTCATAATTTAGAACAATATTGCCGAAGAAAGTTTTCAAAAATATCCTTTTGTTCGGTCACAAAAAATTAATTACTACTTTTTTAAACTAAGCATCGTGTAGGCCTAGGATGATATTTACTACTTGTTTAAACTGAGCATCGTGTAGGCTTTTTTTCCCCTTTCATGCGTAGCTGGACGCGTTCTGCGGTACACGCTGCCATTGACCAGACTCGCGCAGATCTCGCGAGGGGGCGGGGACTAGCCCTGCTCGTGTGGAGAGAAACGAAAAGGGGTGCAAACATCTACGGGTGATTCGTTCGGTCACAAAAAATTAATTAAGGAAATTGCGCTTAAATTGTCACTAGACTTTTTATTAACGTGGTTAGTGTTTCGAAGATCGAAGTAGACAGGAAATGAATTCAAAATGCGTGCCCAAATACTAACACCATTTCTTGGATCGTAGTATTTATATCACGGGTTTATCCACAGTATAACCCAGATCCAAACCTTGATCATTGATCTCCCTCTACACGGGTGAAGTAAAACACTCAGACGTTATTTCGAGAGGGTCACTAACATAAACTTGATACACCGTGTTTTTTAAACATATCTCTCACGGTAAAAATATGTGCTTATTTTAAAACTCATCCAAACTGCAGAAAATAAAACAACAAAAACAAGCACAATACAATAAAATAAATTATATTCTCAAAGAAGATATGTGAATATTCTGCTTGTTTCTGTGTAATGAACGACTAAGCTAATACCCATATACGTAGGCCAACTAGGCCTATATTATTAATTTGATTTACCATGTGTTACAATAACATGTAAAGGTTATTTAATTAAGTCTCAGATTCATAATCCATGTTTTTCCTGTATGCACATACACAGCGTGAAGGCATTCATTAATTAGAAAATATAACAGGTCTGAAAACCATAGCGCACATTCCTGTAACTGAACTATGTCTAACAAAATATTGTCCTGTAGACTTTACAGAGTTTCTTCTATGCATCTTTTCGGGGGGATGGGAGACGAAAGTTACCCCCCCCCCCACGACAAATTAAAAGTCTCGAAGCATTAACTGGCAAGTCTTCCTCTTTTATTTCTGGCACATCTGGCACTAACCGATGTGTCACACGGCAACTATAGTACACAGTTTATAATCTCCACGACATTAACAAACATCATATGTCCATCACGTGACCTCTAACCTCTCGTGTTAGCTATTGCCCGTGCTCCTACACGACCGTGGTGTCTTCCAAAGACTAAATAATTATAAAGTTATATTGTGGTTGTGTTGTATTTATAATCTTATGACATTTAAAAAAAATTAACTGTAACTCTGATAAAAATAATAATTGTATTGAGATAGTTGTTAATAAAACTACATTTAAAAACAAGGTTCAACCTAAGCACCATAAACATAAACCTGAGCACCATAAACCTAAACATTAGCATCATAAACATAAACCCTAGTACCATAAACCTAAACCATAAACTATAAACCTAAACATAAACGCCATAAACCTAAGCCTTATCACCATAAACCTAAACCTGAGCACCATAAACATAAACCTGAGCACCATAAACCTAAACCTGAGCACCATAAACATAAACCTTAGCACCATAAACCTAAACATTAGCGTCATAAACATAACCCTTTGCACCATAAACCTTAACCTGAGCACCATAAACCTCAACCGTATAATTATAATCCAAAAAACTGAGCATGTTTTGCTTTATAGTCCCATTCAAAAGTATACATGAATATGTTTACATCTTATCATTTTATTTCTTGTATAAGCACATTGATACAACAATAGAGAAACGATGCATTGGTGTATTTAATTCTGTTGTCATCTTACATTTTAGCAACCAGATACAAAGAAATATTTAGGCCGAGATGTGAAGCGTCCTGGTAATTTTAGTCGTCGTATACATCCTTCAAACTCGCTGACGTTAGTCTAAAAGAGAATACAAAAGCCGGTCGATAAAACTTGGATCCTTTACTGTGCTAAATGTAGGCACGGCAGTTCAAAATAAAGATATAACCTACTGAATATAGACAATCGATTGTTACCTTTAACATCCAGGGATGGGAATAGTCTCTGTTGGCGATGGGGTACATTCCAAATTCTATCTTTGTTAAAGGCTCACAATCGGCACTTTTCGCAAGATTTTGTCTATAAGCATCAATCGTCATAATAGTGGTGAATAACTTGTTCCGATAATACCCCTTTAAACACAATATAAAACAATTTATTATTATGTTAGCAATAATATCCTGGTTTTAGTATGAAAACAATACGTTTTTATGATAGTGTTAAGAAATGTTATAAATGGAAACAAAATAGTGATCCATTATGTATTTATCTACTGCTGGTGTTCTTGTTATCATAAGGCAGCCATCTTGGTTTTGTCTGTTTAAGACATCACCTGTTTGTGCCGGGTTAAAAAAAAACGTGGCTGTATCTTGTTGATTCTGGTGGTTTTCAAGAACTGGAGATGTAGTGGCTTCAGAAGTGTAGGATTATGGAAGATTTAGTGGCTTTAGAAGTGTAGGATTATGGAAGATTTAGTGGCTTTAGAAGTGTAGGATTATGGAAGTTTTGTGGCTTCATAAGTGTAGGATTATGGAAGATTTAGTGGCTTCATAAGTGTAGGATTATGGAAGATTTAGTGGCTTCATAAGTGTAGGATTATGGAAGATTTAGTGGCTTTAGAAGTGTAGGATTATGGAAGATTTGTGGCTTCATAAGTGTAGGATTATGGAAGATTTAGTGGCTTCAGAAGTGTAGGATTATGGAAGATGTAGTGGCTTCAGAAGTGTGGGATTATGGAAGATTTAGTGGCTTCAGAAGTGTAGGATTATGGAAGATTTAGTGGCTTCAGAAGTGTAGGATTATGGAAGATTTAGTGGCTTCATAAGTGTAGGATTATGGAAGATTTAATGGCTTCATAAGTGTAGGATTATAAAAGATTTAGTGGCTTCATAAGTGTAGGATTATAAAAGATTTAGTGGCTTCATAAGTGTAGGATTATGGAAGATTTAGTGGCTTCAGAAGTGTAGGATTATGGAAGATTTAGTGGCTTCAGAAGTGTAGGATTATGGAAGATTTAGTGGCTTCAGAAGTGTAGGATTATGGAAGATTTAGTGGCTTCAGAAGTGTAGGATTATGGAAGATTTAATGGCTTCATAAGTGTAGGATTATGGAAGATTTAGTGGCTTTATAAGTGTAGGATTATGGAAGATTTAGTGGCTTCATAAGTGTAGGATTATGGAAGATTTAGTGGCTTTATATGTGTAGGATTATGGAAGATTTAGTGGCTTTATAAGTGTAGGATTATGGAATATTAAGTGACTTTATTAGTGTAGGATTATGGAAGATTTAGTGGCTTGAGAAGTGTAGGATTATGGAATATTAAGTGGCTTTATAAGTGTAGGATTATGGAAGATTTAGTGGTTTCAGAAGTGTATGATTATGGAAGATTTAGTGGCTTTATAAATGTATGATCATGGAAGCTGTAAGAAGCCAGAAGCCAGTGTTTCTTTCAGATTTTTTCTCCGAGAGGGCACTTGATAGTTTTTTTTTTGGGGGGGGGGGGGGGGGGGGGTAGAAGGGAGAGCGGACCAAATTTTCCAGGGGAAAAGAGAATGGAAGCTGGGAGAGAATGAGAGCAAGGAGAGTCTGAGAGCTAGGAGAGTCTGAGCTAGGAGAGTCTGAGCTAGGAGAGTCTGAGAGCTAGGAGAGTCTGGGAGCTAGGAGAGTCTGAGCTAGGAGAGTCTGGGAGCTAGGAGAGTCTGAGAGCTAGGAGAGTCTGAGAGCTAGGAGAGTCTGAGAGCTAGGAGAGTCTGAGAGCTAGGAGAGTGAGAGCTAGGAGAGTCTGAGAGCTAGGAGAGTCTGAGAGCTAGGAGAGTCTGAGAGCTAGGAGAGTCTGAGCTAGGAGAGTCTGAGAGTTAGGAGAGTCTGAGAGCTAGGAGAGTATGAGCTAGGAGAGTCTGAGCTAGGAGAGTTTGAGAGCTAGGAGAGTCTGAGAGCTAGGAGAGTCTGAGCTAGGAGAGTCTGAGCTAGGAGAGTCTGAGAGCTAGGAGAGTCTGAGAGCTTGGAGAGTCTGAGAGCTAGGAGAGTCTGAGCTAGGAGAGTCTGAGCTAGGAGAGACTGGGAGCTAGGAGAGTCTGAGAGCTAGGAGAGTCTGAGAGCTAGGAGAGTCTGAGAGCTAGGAGAGTCTGAGAGCTAGGAGAGTCTGAGAGCTAGGAGAGTCTGAGAGCTAGGAGAGTCTGAGCTAGGAGAGTCTGAGAGCTAGTAGAGTCTGAGAGCTTGGAGAGTCTGAGAGCTAGGAGAGTCTGAGAGCTAGGAGAGTCTGAGAGCTAGGAGAGTCTGAGCTAGGATAGTCTGAGAGCTTGGAGAGTCTGAGAGCTAGGAGAGTCTGAGAGCTAGGAGAGTCTGAGCTAGGAGAGTCTGAGCTAGGAGAGTCTGAGAGCTAGGAGAGTCTGAGAGCTTGGAGAGTCTGAGAGCTAGGAGAGTCTGAGCTAGGAGAGTCTGAGCTAGGAGAGACTGGGAGCTAGGAGAGTCTGAGAGCTAGGAGAGTCTGAGAGCTAGGAGAGTCTGAGAGCTTGGAGAGTCTGAGAGCTAGGAGAGTCTGAGCTAGGAGAGTCTGAGCTAGGAGAGACTGGGAGCTAGGAGAGTCTGAGAGCTAGGAGAGTCTGAGAGCTAGGAGAGTCTGAGAGCTAGGAGAGTCTGAGAGCTAGGAGAGTCTGAGAGCTAGGAGAGTCTGAGAGCTAGGAGAGTCTGAGCTAGGAGAGTCTGAGAGCTAGGAGAGTCTGAGAGCTAGGAGAGTCTGAGAGCTAGGAGAGTCTGAGAGCTAGGAGAGTCTGAGAGCTAGGAGAGTCTGAGCTAGGAGAGTCTGAGAGCTTGGAGAGTCTGAGAGCTAGGAGAGTCTGAGAGCTAGGAGAGTCTGAGAGCTTGGAGAGTCTGAGCTAGGAGAGTCTGAGAGCTTGGAGAGTCTGAGAGCTAGGAGAGTCTGAGAGCTAGGAGAGTCTGAGAGCTAGGAGAGTCTGAGCTAGGATAGTCTGAGAGCTTGGAGAGTCTGAGAGCTAGGAGAGTCTGAGAGCTAGGAGAGTCAGAGAGCTAGGAGAGTCTGAGAGCTAGGAGAGTCTGAGAGCTATGAGAGTCTGAGCTAGGAGAGTCTGAGAGCTAGGAGAGTCTGAGAGCTAGGAGAGTCTGAGAGCTAGGAGAGTGAGAGCTAGGAGAGTCTGAGAGCTAGGAGAGTCTGAGAGATAGGAGAGTCTGAGAGCTAGGAGAGTCTGAGCTATGAGAGTCTGAGCTAGGAGAGTCTGGGCTAGGAGAGTCTGAGCTAGGAGAGTCTGAGAGCTAGGAGAGTCTGAGCTAGGAGAGTCTGAGAGCTAGGAGAGTCTGAGAGCTAGGAGAGTCTGAGCTAGGAGAGTCTGAGAGCTAGGAGAGTCTGAGAGCTAGGAGAGTCTGAGAGCTAGGAGAGTCTGAGAGCTAGGAGAGTCTGAGAGCTAGGAGAGTCTGAGAGCTAGGAGAGTCTGAGAGCTAGGAGAGTCTAAGAGCTAGGAGAGTCTGAGAGCTAGGAGAGTCTGAGAGCTAGGAGAGTCTGAGAGCTGGGAGTGTCTGAGCTAGGAGAGTCTGAGAGCTAGGAGAGTCTGAGCTAGGAGAGTCTGAGCTATGAGAGTCTGAGCTAGGAGAGTCTGGGCTAGGAGAGTCTGAGCTAGGAGAGTCTGAGAGCTAGGAGAGTCTGAGCTAGGAGAGTCTGAGAGCTAGGAGAGTCTGAGAGCTAGGAGAGTCTGAGAGCTAGGAGAGTCTGAGGATATTGTATAAGGTATGTGAGTCTGGAACTAGTTTGATGGTTTTTGAAAATGTTAGTCTCTCTCTTCCACTACACCAACACCAATCTCTCTCTATCTCTCTCTCTCTCTCTGTGATCTCTCTCAGATACACACTACTGACCGTGAAGGTAAGTTTATGCCATCTGTCGTCATTACATTTCAAGAGTGACATTTCAGAATTCATCGATGTGCAGAAGTGCCTGTAGTTCATTTTCCCATTAGTAAGAAAAAACGCGATCATGTTCTTCTTATCTTGCATCTTCCCATATAAAATTACACCGTTTGATGAATTAGTCTTGAATTCAAACTCAATGTTGATCCTGTATTAACAGTTTATTTCATTTAAAAAAAATTAAAACAATCAACTTACCGCATATTATACATCATAATAGGTTATTTAAAAAAAAAAACCTAATTTTCAGAAATTAAACATAATAATCTCAATTGTGGGATATTAAAGACGTTGGTCTTAACAAACGGGTTGTCAAGATGCGTCGTGTCCCGTCGTGTGGTACGTACGTCCGTCGGTTTACTCGGGTTGTATTCAGGATGTCAATCTCCACGCGGCTGTTGGTTTGAGCTTCAATACGTACACCCTGACAACCAAACACATTGATCCCATTTTCCTGGAATCATACACAAACAGTAAGACAACAACATACACAAATCTTCAATATTTTATTAACTTTAAATGTAAGAGTGAACAATTCTAATGCACTCAAACTTTAGATGTAAAACCAGAACTTGAAGCTCGAAGACAATGTGTTTGTGTAAACATTAATAATATATCATTCAAATTGTGTGTTATATATGCTAGTATAGAGAGTAGTCTACAAAATATATAAACATTAATTAACACAACTTTAAAAGACAAGTCTAGGGCGACGCCTAGTCGGCACCGCTAATTATTCTAAGAACATCTCTAACAGTAAACTTTACATAAAACTTAGAGAATAAACTACGCTGTTTATGATTTAAGTAAATGTTAAATACCCTATAACCTTTGAGACATACCGTGCAAGTATTGGCAACATGATCACCTGTAGTCACATGCAAGCCAAGGTAAGCAAACCAGAGCAGACGACACAATCTATCCATGACGTAGGATGACGGTAGTGATGAGGCTCTGGATATGTAATCTGGACAAGGTAAATAATGTGTCTGGGGAAGTATGAATAATCTGAACGTTCTACACCATTCTGAGTCAGGAAAACGATGTTTTGCAGTGTGTCTGTATGTCTTCCTGTCTGCTAGTATGTCTCTCTATCCGTTTGTCCGTCTGTTCATCTATATGTATGTTTTATTGTTCTCTCCGTCCGTCCGTCGGTTAGTCCGTTTGACCGTTCGTACACATGTCCCACTGTCCGTCTGTCAGTCAGTCAGTCTAAGAGTCAAGCAGCCAGCCAGCCTGCCTGCCTATCTTTCTGTCTGACTGTCTGTTTATCTTTCTGTCTGTCTGTCTGTCTGTCTGTCCAATTGCTGCCTTGATACTCTCCAAAGGAGCAACTAACATGCATGTCTTTTCTTTTTTCTTTTTAAACTTTTAGAAATCAGAATCTTTTCTTTAAAAAAAAATATTTTGTTTCTTTTAAAAGCAACACCTACCTGAAAGATTGAACCAATGTTGTAACTAGTACATATGTGCAATAACTTGTTAAGCTCAAGATATATAACAGATGCGGGCTAGTCTATTTATAGAATGTATCTAGCGCTGCAACCTAGCTAGGACACTGACTTTTAAATCCATCTCAGCATCTGATTGGATAATTATGTCACGTGGCTCGCCCAATATGTCAAACAGATATCAGGGCCAGGGTAATAAAAAAGTGTTTACGTCTGTAAATGAAATACAACGTGCAATACTCCGGTCAAAATGAATCTTGTATGGTATACCTACTTTTGAGATATGTTGATATTACTGACTTAATAATTGTAATTCTATATATTCTCCCAGTTACATAACACATACATACTATAGTATGGTCAATATATTAAACATATAGCATCTACCAGTGCTGGTAATTTGATAAAAAAAAATGAAACACAGAAGACAGAAACACATCTGGCAAAAGTTTCTTATCTTTTCACATTAAGTCGACAGCTCCACTTTTTCTTCGACTTGTGCTAATCCGCTAAATTCACATAATTCTGTACAGGCTGAACATTCCACAGCTCTACCATATGTTGTGGTGCGAGAATGTTTATATTTACTGTTTGTATTTGTGTATGAGGTTGACTTTCGTATGTGAGGCCTGACAGTTTCTTCATTGTGAAATATAGCAACACTGACACTGTTCCAAGTTCAATAATATAACGTTTCTGTTGTTTTTTTAATAATTCAAAATAACATAGCCTTAGTTCTACTGGTATCTAATATTATACATTACTAATTCGTAAAAACTATTTCATTATTTCTTGACAACATATTCACACTTCTATCAACTGAATCATCTCAACTGTAACTTAATTGACTTATCTCTGCTCAACTGCTTCTAACACTCGACTGACTTTCTACACGCTTGACTGCCAACTGACGGTATCTCTGACCAACTGACCGTGACTGCTAATCTCTCTTTTGATTGGTCGGCTATGTGATTAGTACTTACTCCTACCCACTGAGACTGCTTATAAAAGACAATCTATTCTACGTTATTCTACCTCACTCCTTTGTTTGAGATAAGTATGTTAATATATGTCTCAGTTATATACATATGTCTAATATCGTATACATTATTACGTTGATATCAAAAAATCAGTTGAGATGTCCGAATAAATATTATGTCGTTAAAATACATACTTACAGATTAATATACATTTTTTTGTTTAGAGGCACTACAAGGGAGACAAAACAAGAAAACTCTCAAATATGTCTTCTTAAATGGATCTAACAATTAAAATATTACACAAATAATAGTTGATACATCTGTTAAATTAAAACAAAATTTTTGTAGGAAAAATTGAATATATTTGACATGACATCAACAATAATATTTTATTAAAAACTTTATGTAGTTACATATTTAAAAACCTTTATCTTTTTTGTATGCTCTTCTCTAAGACGCGTGAGCATTTCCATTTAAACCATAATTGGAATCTAATCCCTCTTTTAATGACTTTTCCAAAAGATCTACTCCCAAATTCGTCAAATATTTGTCTGTTACATAAAAATGGCAGTTCGCGCTCAATTTAAAGGAAATAATGAAGTTGGAGTTTTTGCCAAACTGACAAATAGTTATTGCTTAGTTGGGATGGGAGGTTCTGAACATTTCTACAGTGTTTTTGAAGGTGAAATAGGGGACACAATTCCTGGTGTCCATGCGAGCATTGCTGGTTGTCGTGTTATAGGCAGAATGTGTGTTGGAAATCGTCATGGTTTGCTGGTCCCCAACACAACTGTTGTCACAATAACTAACTTGGCCCTGACTGTTGTCAGGAAATCGTCATGGTTTGCTGGTCCCAAACACAACAACAGACCAGAGCTGCAGCACATAAGGAATGCCCTGCCAAACACCGTCAAGATTTACAGAGCTGAAGAGAAGTTGTCTGCCCTGGGGAATGTGATTGCCTGCAATGATTATGTGGCACTGGTACACCCAGATTTAGACAGGGAAACAGAAGATTTACTGGTTGACACACTCAATGTTGAAGTCTTTCGTCACACAGTCGACAACATCGTCTTGGTTGGCAGTTACACAGTAGTTAGTAATCAAGGAGGCATGGTCCCCCCTAAAACATCCGTGGAGGATTTAGATGAGCTCTTGTCCCTGCTTCAAGTACCTCTTGAGGCAGGTACAGTAAACAGAGGCAGTGAGGTTCTGGCTGGGGGCCTTGTGGTCAATGACTGGATGGCCATCTGCGGCCATGATACCACCTCCACAGAAGTCTCTGTCATAGAGAATGTCTTCAAGCTGAGTGATCATGAGCCCTCACAGATACAGATGAGCGATTCTTTAATTGACACGCTGTCATAAGGTTTACTATGAAAGGGAAGCAAGATGTGAAAAACCTCCAGGAATTGTGAAACAGGACTACATTTGTATACATAACCAGTGGCATTTTTTTCTGTACAAAACATTTGTATATTATCCTGTATCTGGTTCATGTTATGATGACTACCATTGATAATACTGCCAATAAATTATGGTACATCATTCAAAGATTCATCATGCCATAAGTTAAAAAAAAAAAAAAAAAAAAAAAAAAAAAAACTAAAGCCATACCAATATTCCATACAGATCTAGAATCTAGTTGTTCAGTATAAATATGACCAAATCGTCAATGAATAATTGAGTCTATCACATTAAATTGCTATCTCATAAATATTGATTAATATTAATATTGATTAATAAACGACTTAAGCTGTTGAGGCATACACTATCAATGGGCGGTTAATTTATAACATTTCTTCATGACAGGTATTTTTGTCTAACCCGACTCAGTGAATATTGCTTGAAAAAAAATGTAATTACATTTAAAAAAAATTAATAAACCTTTACAATTCCGTGCTTTTCGTTCATCTTTCAAGGGAAACAACTTCTTTAATAATGACAATATATAAGAACAAACGCAATCAAATTAATAAAGCAAAATAAAATTACTAGTTATAGTTAAGAATATCAGTTATAATAAATAGTTTAAACGTATGCTAAATTGTATTTTTAGATTTGTGCCATTTTCGTTAAAATTGGAAATGTAAATATAAAAATCAAACCTTTGAGACAAAGAACATTATCTTTGAATAATAATAATAATTTCAAGTTAAACAATGTCCATAAGGTAAACTTCATTTTTAGAATTCAATTAAATGAAAAATAGTAACACTATTTAAAAAAAAAAAAAAAAAAAAAAAAAGACAATCTGACTGACTGTAGAGCCGGAATAATTCGGGAATGCAAAGCGAAAGATAGCTACCACAATGAAGAAAGCTACAAGAACAGCACTATTGGATACACTTCATTTATGGACAGTTCGTTCTTTAATGGGACTAACAGTTGCAGGATGCAATCTACTTTCTTTCCAAATATATAGATCTACCTATTTTTCATATGTGAGACCAGCCAAGCAGGAAGAGCGCAGAAAAATTCGGGAGAAAGAAATTGCTTTAGAGCAGCAAGAGAAGGAAGAGGAACTCTTGCGTCGACAGAAAGAGGCTGAAAAAGTTTTAAAATATTAATATTACTTTTTTCTAAAGCTTAGTGTTGTTTAGTGATGAGAGAACAACAGATGGTATATACATTTGGTGAAAAACTTTTTCCAATCACTTAACCTAGGAATACCTTTAACTTAAACTGCTCTGTCAAGTATAAGTATACTTAGTAAAATTGATCTTCAAGTATTAGGTTAAATGTTAAATTTTTGTACCTACTAATATCCTGTCAAATTTCACAGGAAAGACCATTCTAGAAATTATTGTGAAAATTTTTTTTGTTTAAAATATTTAATTTAACAGGGCTTGTAAATGTATACTTTTTTTCCCCATACTTTTTCATGACTAATTATTCATGTATCATAAAGTCAGTGTGAGACTTTTGGTGAATTTTCTATGTTACTGTACAATAAAATATACAAATATCTAAAAAATAAAAAAAAATAAAAATAAAAAAAAAATAAATAAATAAAAAAATAAAAAATAACAAAAAAAAAATAAAACAAAACAGTAATACACTCATATAAGCCAGGGGTCGTCAATCTGCGGCTCGCGAGTCGCATGCAGATCTTTTGATTTCAAGTGGCGGCCCTCGAGTTCCATGCACAAATATTAGAAATTATTGTATTATTTTATTTTTCAAAACCCATAACAAATATTATACTGTAAAGAAACAGAACTTTAAATATAAAAAATAATCAGCGAATGAGAATAGGTGGGAGTAGAGAGTATTCGGACAGCTGACAGCCGCTTGGGCACCAAGCCCAGCTCCACAGCCGTGCAATGCTTGCCACTTCCCAAGTGCCAACTTTTTCCAATATTGTTAAACGGAGGTTGTTATTTTATTCAGAATGCATATCCAATATCTGTCAGTAATCATTAATTTGACCTGAGTGACGTAGTTTTTTAGTTATTAGCTTCATACTGTTGAGTCGGGTACATGACGATGGGGTACGAGTTTACCCTTAGTTCAGTGGGTTGGAGGATATGCCTTGTGAGAATCGAAGAACAGAAGTGACCGATACACAGTTTTGTAAATTGTTTTTTTGGCTCTTCCGTCTCAAAAGGTTGCCGACACCTGATATAAGCTGTAATTCTAATTCTCAGTCAATAACCCACCACCCCCCCCCTAGGGCAGGGGTCGGCAACCATCGCCTCGCGGGCCCCATGAGGTTCTTTTGATGTCAAGATGCGGCTCTCCAGCTCCTTGCACAAATATTAATAGTTATATTATTTCATTATCAAAGCTCACAAAAAATATATATATTATAAAAAAACAACAATTTTAAACAGAATAAAACACTCATCAGAGAACAGTGAGAGTAGGTGAGGTAGAAAGTAAATGGACAGCTGACAGCCGCTTGGGCACCAGGCCTAGCCCCACAGCCGCGCTATAGCCAGCCCTTAGCAACAATTCAAGGCTTGCCACTGCCCAAGTGCCGACGTTTTTAATATCGTTAAATGTGGAATGTTATGTTATACATAATGCCTTTCTCTATCTGACAATTATCCTTAATTTGACCTGAGTGCAGAGACGTAGCGAGCGGGGGGGAGGGGGGGAATTGGGGGGGGGGCACATGTCCCCGGGCGCCGACCTTAGGGGGCGCCAAAATGGGTTGGAAAAATAAATTGAAAGCTTGAGGAGGGGTGTACATCGAAAGTTAAAGGGGGTGAGGGTGCAAATTGAAAGTCTCTTCTTAGTGACGTAGTTTTTTTTTTTTTTTTTGTGAACCGTGGGGTACGAGTTTACCCTGCGTTCAGTGGGGTGGAAGATAAGCCCGGTGAAAACCGAAGGACAGAAGCGACCGATACACCGTACTCAAACCAATACTTAAGCCAGTTAGTCGGAGTTTGCCGTGTTGAGGCCTGCTTCGATAATGACAGACACATCCTGAACAGCTGATGACGATAAAGAAAGAGAAAGAAAATTTAACAGCTTCTAAAGTGGATTGGGATAGTCCTATAGTTATATTATTCGATTACTAAGTTTATTATTCTTGCAAAACATGTGTACGTTTTCATATAAATAATTATTATTTCATATTTAAAGCTATTTTTTTTTGAAATAACAAATCAAATGTATTTACCTAATCCTAATTAAATACCATAATATAGAAATAAAAATGTTAGTGGCTTTTTAAAAAAATTGGATATTTGGTAAATTATAACTTTTTGGGTCTTCCGTATCAGACTTTGGGATGCGACTTATTTCTCTTTGGTTTTTAATGTATTAAAACACAAGCATTATTCTATGATAATTGTATTGTGTGGTTATTGTTTTTTTGAAGACTTCTGTAGAAGTGTTTCTGTTCTTGTTTTTTTTTTTGTTGATACGTGTATGTTGATGACCGTATATTCTGATGTGTTTCCTTAAATTGTGACACTTGCAGTTTCGGCCCAGAGTGTCTTTTTTGTCATGTTTTCTAGTTTGTATTTATTGTTTGTGCAAAGTATGCTGGTTCCCCTACTCTCTGTCCTGTAGTATGTATTGATTGTTTTATTCCCAGTTTGTTGCAACATGTATGTGTTTATTCTAATGTGTTAAAATGTGTCTCTTGTAAGATGTCGATATTATGTTTATAAATGAAATTAATGAGAGCCGGGGTTTTACCGCAGGTTCCCCTAATGTTTAAATTTACTAATGTGTGTAAACCCATGGTTGATTATGTTCATTTTACTTGGTCTGTTGTTGTTGATCTTGCTGTATATCGAGTTCTTCAAATTGTTCATTGTCACTTTCCATCTCATTTTCATTTTCTGACATATCCGTTGAATTGTTTGCTGTGTTGAAAATATCCGGTTCCTCTGTTGGGAGAATGTAGGCTATCCTTGCTGTCAGCGTCGTACTCTAGCCTTACTAGCTCTTCCCTGTCGCTGTCTGGGAGTTCTCTATCCTCTGGTGATTTAACTTTTTCTATTGTGGCCTTCAATTGCCTAGCTTGATATGTTCCTCTTTTGACTTAGTCGCTGTAAGATGGTTGGGATAGTGGTGTATTATTAAATATTGAAGGTGATTCTTCAATATCCACCATTTGTATGGACCCCATTTGTTTACTTCCTGTGTCTCTTGATGTACTCCTCTCTTCCTTGTCACCAACACCATCTTCTCTTTTCCTCTTCAGACGCTGATCTCTTAGCGCCTCGCTAGCGCTGATCTCCTTGCCCTTTCTTTCTCTCAGTTCAGTGACGTCGTCTTCGTCCCAACTTTCCAAACTTCTCTTGTGTCGTTTTGTAGTCGATGTCTTTGAGCTGCCTTTTCTTGTTCTCCGCAAGGCTGTATTACTTTATACCTCCCCGTTGGGGCACAACATCCTCCTTTCAGAGAGGTGGATTACTGCCACCTGTGCCGCTCCTTCAGCGTCTTTAAATCTTATAAAGTGAGGTATTTTTTCTTTGTCCATTTTGGGCTTAATTATGAATTTATAGTTGTTCCCTCGGTCTTCAGTCTAATTAACCTCTGCGTTCTTTCATGTGTTAGTGTCTTTGGCTCGTAGAATTCAGTGAGCATAAGACTCTCATAAATTTTCCATGAACCCAGTGTGGTATACAAACATTCACTTCTCCATAGTTGTAGACCCTTTTGAACTCAGTCTCCTGGAAATAAAAACACGCAGACTAAATCAAGATAACAAGATGTCAAATATAAAGATCAAGTTTGTATTTTACTACTACCACCAAGATCTGCACCCAGGGCGGCTCCACCCAGACTCGCGTCCCAGGCTTCCACGCTCACCCCTTTATAAAGGTTTGATGAACAGCGTAACAGATTAATTAAACGGGTTGGATCCTAAGTCCTTAAAAACGATATACATTCAAGCCACAGTTTTTAAAATGTATAACCTAATATATTTTTAAATAAAAGTTAGCTTTCTTGCTTACATTTGTAATATTTTCTAAAATGATTGAATTTTTAAATATTTATTTTATTAGTAATATGCCTATATATATATATATATATATATATATATATATATATATATATATATATATATATATATATATATATATATACATACAT